CTGCGACGGCGGGGGTGCACGACGGCACGGCGGGAGGGGCACGAAACCGTGTCCTGCCAAACGTTTTTGGCCGCTTCCTCCCCTTTCTCCTCCCACTCTATTCCTTCAACGTATGAATACCTTATCCCTGTCGGAGAGGTATGCCTAAGGGTGGAATAAATCTGCGTAGTGTTTTGCGTCGTGTTTTTGCGTAGTGTTTGTGCGTAGTGTTTTTGCGTAGTATTTTTCGCGTAGTGTTTTTCGCGTAGTGTATTTGCGTAGTATTTTATTGCGCAGTGGTTTGGCGTAGTGTTTCTGCGTAGTGTATTTGCGTAGCGCATCTGCGTAGTGTTTTTGCGTCGCGTACTCGCGTCGTGTGTGTGCAGAGTGCGTTTGCGTAGTGTATTTGCGTAGTGGACTTGCGTCGTGTATTTGCGTCGTTTTTGTGCTGAGTGCGTTTGAGTAGTGTGTTGGCGTAGTGTGTTGGCGTAGTGTTTTTGCGTAGTGTTTTTGCGTAGTGGTTTCGCGTAGTGATGTTGCGTAGTGTTTTGCGTAGTGTTTTTCGCGTAGTGCTTTTGCGTAGTGTATTTGGGCAGTGTTTTTTTTTGTGTAGTGTTTTTTAGCGTAGTGCTTTCGCGCAGTGTGTTCCCGTAGCGCATCTGCGTAGTGTTTTTGCGTAGTGTTTTTGCGTCGTGTATTCGCGTCGTGTGTGTGTGCTGAGTGCGCTTGCGTAGTGTATTGTGGTAGTGTAGTTGGGTAGTGCACTTGCGTCGTGTAATTGCGTCTTGTATGTGCTGAGTGCGTTTGCGTAGTGTATTGGCGTAGTGTGTTGGCGTAGTGTATTTGCGTAGTGTTTTTGCATAGTGCGTTTGCGTAGTGATTTTGCGTAAGAGTGTTCCCGTAGCGCATCTGCGTAGTGTTTTTGCGTCGTGTTTTTGCGTCGTGTATTCGCGTCGTCTGTGTGCTGAGTGCGCTTGCGTAGTGTATTGTGGTAGTGTAGTTGCGTAGTGCATTTGCGTCGTGTAATTGCGTATTGTATGTGCTGAGTGCGCTTGCGTAGTGTTTTGGCGTAGTGTGTTGGCGTAGTATATTCGCGTAGTGTTTTTGCATAGTGCTTTTGCGTAGTGATTTTGCGTAGTGTTTTTGCGTAGCGTTTTCGCGTAGTGTGTTTGCGTAGTGTTTTTGCGTAGTGTTTCTGCGTAGTGGTATCGCGTAATGTTTTCGCGTAGTGTGTTTTGGCGTAGTGCTTCTGCGTAGTGTATTTGCGTAGCGCATCTGCGTAGTGTTTTTGCGTGGCGTATTCGCGTCGTGTGTGTGCTGAGTGCGGTTGCGTAATGTGTTGGCGTAGCGTATTTGCGTCGTGTATGTGCTGAGTGCGTTTGCGTAGTGTATTGGCGCAGTGTGTTGGCGTAGTGTATTTGCGAAGTGTTTTTCGCGTAGTGCGTTTGCGTGGTGATTTTGAATAGTGTTGTTGCGTAGTGATTCTTGCGTAGCGTATTTGCGTAGTGTTTTTGCGTAGCGGTTTCTGCGCAGTGTATTCGCGCAGTGTATTCGCGTAGCGCGTCTGCGTAGTGTTTTTGCGTAAATTGTCTTGCGTCGTGCACTCGCGTCGTGTATGTGCTGAGTGCGCTTGCGTAGTGTATCTGCGTAGTGTTTCGGCGTAGTGTATTTGCGTCGTGTGTTTGCGTCGTGTATGTGCTGAAAGCGTTTGCGTAGTGTATTTGCGTAGTGTATTTGCGTAATGTATCTGCGTAGTGTTTTTGCGTAGTGAGTTTGCGTGGTGTTTTTGAGTAGTGGTTTCGCGTGGATGTGTCTCGCGTAGCGTTTGTCGAGTGATGTTTTCGCGTAGAGTTGTTGCGTCGTGTGTTGCGTAGTGCACTCGCGTGGGGTATCTGCGTAATGTATTGGCGTAGTGTATCTGCGTAAGGTGTATCTGCGTAGTGTATTTGCGTAGTGCGCTTGCGTAGTGTATTTGCGAAACGTTTTCGCGTGAATGTTTCTTGCGTAGCGTTCGTTGCGTAGTGTTCATCGCGTGGTGTTCTCTCGTAGAATTGATGCGTCGTGTTTGTTTGATAGTCTTGTTGCGTTTTTTTTTTTTTGCGTAGCGTTTCTGCGAAGCGTTTTTGCGTAGTGTTTGCGTAGTGCGTTCGCGTAGCGTATAGGCGTAGTGCATTTGCGTAGTGCGCTCGCGCGGTGTATCTGCGTAGTGTTTTCGCGTGAATGTTTTCTGGCGCAGTGTTTTGGCGTAGTGTACTGGCGTAGTGTATTGGCGTAGTGTATTGGCGTAGTGTATGTACTGAGTGCGTTTGCGTAGTGTACTGGCGTAGTGTATTGGCGTAATGTATTGGCGTCCTCCTCCTCCTCCTCCTCCTCCTCCTCCCCCCCCTCCTCCTCCTCCTCCTCCTCCCTCCCCTCCTACTCCTACTCCTATCTGCGGCTACCTGGTATCGGTCCTTGAATGTTTTTCCTCTTCCCCCTCCTCCTCCTCCATATCAGTCCAAAGTTCGTCCTCCTCCTCCTCCTCCTGCTCCTCCTGCTCCTCCTGCTCATCTTGTGCTCCTCCTCCTCCTCCTCCTCCCTGCACTCCAGTTCTAGCAAATATCTGTCCAATTCCCCCCCCCCCCCCCTCCACGCCTCCGCAACTGCCCGCCTCCTGCGGCGAACGTGACGTGAGACGCGGGCGACGCGCTGCGTTGGGATTCTGGCGCGTTGTTTCCGCGTAGTAGCGCGCCGACTCGGGGCGCTCCTGAAAACACGACGTACAAACACTACGCAGAATGAGTGCCCTCGTGGGCATCGTCTCGCGCCAGTTCCGCCCGAATCCGCAGCCCCCCACGGCATCGGGCGAAACTGTCCAGAGACGCGGGCGACGCGGCATGCTGCTGCGCAAGGGTTTGGGCGCGTTGGCGTGGTGGCGCGCCGACTCGGGGCGCTCCTGCACGCACTGCGTAAAAATACTACACATAATGCCCCCGTCGCCCGCATCTCGCGCGAATTCCGCTCGAAACAGCGGCTCCCCGTGGCCTTGGGCGAACGCGACGTGAGACGCGGGCAGCGCGGGTTTGGGCGTCGTTGTTTGCTACGTGGTTGCTTGCCGGCTCGGGGCGCTCCTGGAAACACAACGTAAAAACACTACGCAGAATGCCCTCGTCGCCCGCGTCTCGCGCCAGTTCCGCCCGAATCCGCAACTCCCCGCGGCCTCGGCCAACGGTGACGAGAGACGCGGGCGACGCGGCATGCTGCTGCGAGGGGTTTCGGGCGTGTTGTTCCCGCGTAGCAGCGTTGCCGTCTCGGGGCGCCCCTGAAAACACCACGTAAAAACACTACGCAGAATGCCCTCGTCGTCCGGACTTCGCAGGGCCGCGCCAGCCGCTGGAGCGCCCGCTCACGAGACCTCCCTGGTCACACACGTACTGTGCGGATGTGACGTACTCACGTACGTAATGCTTCTCCGTAGTGTGTGTTTTGCGTGGTGTTTTTACGTAATGATTTGTTTTTTTTGCGTAGTGTTTTACGTAGTGTTTTTACGTCGTGTTGTTTTTGTTCTGCGTCGTGTTTTTACGTAGTGCTTTTTTATTTCACCTTTAAAATTTCTATTTCACCATTAAAATTTTGATTTCACCATTAATCACAACCGTCCCCTGTCGCATGTCGAGGCCAGTCGGATGGGCGGGCTGGACGTTTCGCCTCGGACTTCCTTTCCACTCATGAGCCTCAAGCTTGTAGACTGACAAAAGCTTCACAGATGGACGGCGGCTGTTTCTCAAAATGTGGCCCTCTCCTTGGCGCCGCGTACATTACGTTTAACATTCTTCAGAAATTTAACGGATTGAAGGCGGGCGCCTTTCAAAATGCACGTTTCGCTTGAGCGCCGCGCACATCCGTTGCAACAAACGGCAAAAGTTTCACGGATTGAGGGCGGGTCGTTTACAAAACGTGGATCTCGTTTTCGCGCCGCGTACACTCGTTTCAAACATTTGCAAGGTTCTCTTTGATTGAAAGGCATCTCTTTTTCAAATTGTGGCACTCACCTCAGCGCCGCGCGCACTCGTTCTAAACAGATGCAACAGCTCCACCGGTTCTCATGGTACTAGAAACGGTGTTTCGGAACAATTTTCATGGCACGACAGTTGCCTTGATTCGCGGTGTTGAAGTCCCAGGAATGGTTCTCTAGCACGGTTAAGGATCATCAAGAGGCAAGAGTCAAGTTGACACATGGCGCTGAAGTAATGAAAACGGTGTTTTGGCACACAATAAGATTTTCACACGGTTGTCCCCCAACGGGGCAATTCCCTCACTGGAAATAAATCCTTGCAGGGGCATGCGAAGAGGGAACTTGGAGGGCCCCCCGACCCCTCGGGAGCGACGACGATGACGACGACGGAGATTACGGTAACGACAACGACGACAACGACGACGGCGGCGACGACGACCACGACGACGACGACGACGACGACGACGGCGGCGGCGACGACGACGACGACGACGGCGACGGCGACGGCGACGGCGACGGCGACGGCGACGGCAACAATGACGACAACGACGACGGCGACGATGACAACGACGAGCTGGTGAACCGGTCGGGCGGGCGGGACATTACATGCAACCTTCACTCTGTGCTGGGGAAGGCCATGTGAAAATATATCACAACCACTAAAGACGCCGATCAGGCGTGCGGAACAATGAATTTAACCTGTAGTCAGCGATGGGGCGTCCAAATCGGGCGGGCGGGACATTAAATGCAACCTTCACTGTTTGGAATGAAACAAACAAAACAAAATCAATCACCACCGCCAAAGACGCCCGTCGGGCAGGCAGGACATTGGAGGAACCATTCAGTCACTGATGGGGCATCCATATCGGGCGGGAGGGACAGCAAATGCAAACTTCACTCTGTGATAGGGGAAGGTTATGGGGAAACGAATCGCGACCGACAAAAACGCAGGACGGGCGGGCTGGACATTAAATAAATGCAACCTTCAATATGTGTCGGTCTGCGCTAGGACCAGAGCAAGGGGAAA